AAGCCAGATACCCTCCATGCGGCAAGGAACCAATCAGAAGTTAGCTAGCAGGCTCTAGATGTGCTTTACTGATAACAATGGAATGCAGAGCATAGCAACCACCCTGGCTGCAGTTGACCAATCAGCTCAGGACAGGTTGTGCAAGCCTGGAGGTACACCAATCCTGAGACTGTTGCTAAGCAGCAAGTGAACCCCAGACACTCCCTTTGCTCTACTCCAATAAATTCCCTGCCCCACTGCTGCTCAGGATCCTCCTGCTTCACCCCAGTCAGATGGACTGGGAAACCTGAGTTAACTCATAAAATTAAAGATGCTTTACTTTTGCATTGGATGAGGTCTTTTAGTGATTGGGGGGGGTTAGAATATGGGTAAAACAGTCATCATTGCTTCAACAAAACTCCATGTTGGGGAGGAAAGGGTATATTTGACTATACTTCCATCACCCAAGGAAGTCAGGACAGGAACTCACACAGGTCAGGAACCTGGAGGCAGGAGCTGATGCAGAGGCCATGGAGGGTGCTGCTTACTGGTTTGATCCCCTGGCTTACTCAATCCACTTTCTTATAGAACCCAGGACCAGCAGCCCAGAGATGATGGCCCCACTCACCATGGACTGGGCACCTCCCCATTAATCACTAATTAAGAAAATGTTCCACAGGCTTGCTAACCTCCTTTAATCCCAGCACTTGGGAGACAGAAGCAGGCGATCTCTGTGAGTTCAAGGCCAGCCTGGTCTACAGAGTGAGTTCCAGGACAGCCTCCAAAACAATACAGAGAAACCCTGTCTCAAAAAACAAAACAAAATAATAATAATTCTTTGGGAAAACCCCGCCACTGTGGTACCATATGTTATGATAATGCTCGAGTGGGACCTTTCGAATGCCATGTTAGGTGAGGTTGATTCTGGAGGGACAAATAGGAGAGGCAGACAGAGCTTAAGTGAGAAGTTTTATTAGAAAAGGGAGGGAAGGGGGATGGAAAGAGAAAAGTAAAGAGACACAGAGACAAGACAGAGAAGAGGGAGACAGGAAAGTCCTGTCTGCCCCAGAGGAACAGCAGGAAAGAGAGTTAAATGGGCGGGGGTCTGTCTTTTAAAGGGGTCCTTTGCACCTGTGTGCAGACTACGAAATCATGGAACCCTGGGCTGGCCAAGGAACTGTCTGAGTGCATCCAGACAGGTGACAGGGGCAGGCCAGATAACTCTGTCTACTCCATATAAGTTAACACCGAGCTGCTAGAAAATTTAGATATGTTTGATAAATAAGGTATATTCGATAATCAAGATTTATAAATTCCTAAGGTCTACTCAAGTTAACAGTAATATTTGTCTAGCTTCGTCTTTGCTCGTTTTTTTTTTTTCTTCAAGACAGGGGTTTCTCTAGCTTTGCTCACATTTAAACTTTAGTTATTTGGATAAACTAAGTCATACAAGAAACTGAAATGTTCTATAATGGAATGCATGATCCTCCAAGAAAGACCCCTTCTCAAGTTCAGGCATTTAGAAAAAAAAAACCCATTCCCTCAGGGGGAAAGTTCCTCCTTGCTAAAGAGAGAGAGAGAGAGAGAAAGAGAGAGAGAGAGAGAGAGAGAGAGAGAGAGAGAGACAGACAGACAGACAGACAGACAGAGACAGAGAGAGACAGAGAGACAGAGAGACAGAGACACTCTTATCTCTTGCAAGAGGAATCTGTGGCCCTTCATTAACATATGACTAGTCCCTGTTGTCAAGGTCAATGCTAACTTCCTCAATCCTTGATCACAAACTGAAGGTCACTGGCCTCCATCCTCCAGGTTAATCTTATGTGCAATTACAGAGTCTAAAAGGCCTATTTTTAGCCCACATTGGTTGTGCACACCTTTAATCCCAGCACTCAGGAGGCAGAGGCAGGCAGATCTCTGTGAGTTCGAGGCCAACCTGGTCGACAGAGAGAGTTCCAGTACAACCTCCAAAACAATACAGAGGAACCCTGTCTGGAAAACAAACAAAAAAAGGTGTATTCTTTTTTCAATAAACATGCAGGCAGCCATACTTATTCATCCTCAGATCCTGTCAATATCCGTTCCCCACCCCTAACTACACACATCTTCTTTGGGTCCTGAACCCCACCTGAGCTGATCTCCAGCACGGCCCCCTAAAGAGTATTTTCAGGAGCTGCTCTGAGACAGCGTGATGGCAATGTCAGGGTCCACCACAGCCCAGCCAATCAGGTTAAAGCACTCCTCCTGCTAAGTGAGGTCAGCCTGACCTATGCCCCTTAGATCCTTGAGACAACCCTCTGCACTGCCCCCCTCCAATAGGAAGTAGCCGGTGAGAGAACGCATCCCCTCCCTCATCTTTTTTTTTTTTTTTTTTTGGTTTTTCGAGACAGGGTTTCTCTGTGGCTTTTGAGGCTGTCCTGGAACTCGCTTGGTAGTCCAGGCTGGTCTCGAACTCACAGAGATCCGCCTGCCTCTGCCTCCCGAGTGCTGGGATTAAAGGCGTGCGCCACCAACGCCCGGCCCCCTCCCTCATCTTTTTATCTGCTGGCAGGGTCTGGAGTGAAACCCCTGAGGTAGACTGAGAGGCTCTGGGCTGACAGTCACCTATGGGATCCCACTGTAGCCCAAGATCGAAACCCGCTGGTGTCCATCTCTCAGACTGCAGGGGAAGTGACGGACTCTTCATACCCAAAGTCTCTCCCTTCCATGTTATAAAATTGTGATGAAGAAATTAAAAAGACCCTAACTAAGCAAGAACCTTCCGACCAAGCAGTTCCCAAAAAACAAAAGGGAACACCAACTGTGTAACACAGGCCCCTAGATGGTCCCTAGAAAACAAGGAACTAGATGGCCTCTCCCAGACCACAGGATGCATTAATCAGCCCCCACCTAAAACAAACGACAGTTGTAGGTTCTTTGCTCAATCCCTATTATCTTGTGATAACCTTGTGTAGAAACTTTATAAGTTTGTATAAAACTTTGTGACATGAGATCATGGGTCTCATGACCCCCTTTCCCTTTTTTAAACTTCCCCTTTTGCTCTTTAAAAACACCCTGCATTTGTGGTTCATGCCTTCAACTCTCCGGACAAGACTGAGCCCCTTTCCTTTGGAAATAATAAACAAACCTTCTTTACTTGCATTCCAGCTTCATTAAGCTCCTTGAAGCTTTGGGGTTCCTCTCTTGTTGGGCACAACAAAAACCCCAAGACACCACACACACACACACACACACACACTGGGTCTCAAACTCAGATCTTCTCCTTACAAGGCCCCAGACTTTGGCACAACTAACTCCATGATGGAAGTGCCACTCAGATCATAAAACTAACCTGCTAAAAAATGATAAAAAGAGAAGCCAAATCCATCAAAGTTCTTAGTTCTAGGGAGGTCTCTAAATGCACTACCCTTGTTTTCAGGCGTCTGAAGTTCCACTTCTGGCTAACTGTTCTTGTTAACTGAAGCATGTCAACCCAGGAAATGGTTTTGTGCTTGCTTGCTTTTGCTTGCCCTGAGAAAAGCTGGGGTCTACGCTGGGATCCCAAACACCAAGTGTAGTTGCCAGCCAGCTAATGAACACATTCCGTTAAACTCAATGTCAACAATGAGACCACTACCACAATTTGAACCAAATTTGGAGCAGGCCTGATTTTTATTTGGGTGCATCCAAGAGCTAGCTAAGGACTACCTCCTAAGTCTTGTTAAAGAGAACAGTCCTGAATCCATTTCATGGGCCCCTCTTAAGGTGTCAAATCACAAGTAATTTTTACAGAAGGGAAACAATAGGTAAGAAGGAAATACAAAAATCCTTTAAAAATCATATGATCACCCACCATGAGATTAGGTAGGGGTCAGGGTATTCTCAGAAATAAGTCAAGGTCATGGTTGGGGAAGGTCAGTGCAAGGAGCTTGTAACTAGGCAGGCAGAGGTCGGGCTGGAGGGAGATTAAGAAAAGGGAGCATAGGCCCAGACTTCTAGTGATGTGTGCCAAAGTGAGTCTTAGGGATCAGCTCAGAACTGTGAACCCAGAGTGACCCACGACTCTGTGAAACGCATCCTGGGTCTCCCCCCCCCCCCACTAACCTTAAAAACCAGTCCATCAAGCCTGAAGGTCCGCATTCTGAGACCAGACCTCAGGGGACTCTTGAAGCCAGAGGAACACAGGTCAGGGGCCGTGAGCCCATGCCGCTGGAGCCTAGTGGCTATGGTCCCTTTCTGCTTAAGTTTCTGTGTGTAACTTTGATGTAAGTGTGAAGTGTAACATATATACTCAAAGACAACTCGCTGAGTACAGTATAATGGATACTGCCTTCAAAACGGAGTCAGGCGGGTGCCTTTTGTGTGAGGAGTCTTCTTTGGCGAGCACCCCATCACATTCTGATTGGAGAATAATTCAGCTCATAGAGACACCTGTTTGCTTTTAAAATTTTCCAGGTCACCCCCTTCAATCCCCAACAGGGAACCTTGTCAAGCGATGCTGCACGAGGATTAAACAGGGTATCTAAGGACACAGACCTAGCACACAGTGGCCTTGGGACTGATAACCACAGGGCCTGGCCCCCAACAGGTTTCATTGTAGTCCTAGGTAGCCTTGAACTCCTAATCCTCCTGCCTGCATTTCCCAGTGCTGAGTGACAGGTTGTGGGTGCCATCACACCCACTTTTCCACGAATAAATTTGGATTTTTCTTGTGTCCCTTTTGGAGACAAGGTCTCTTGTGGCCCAGGCTGACCTCTCACTATGTAACCCTGGATAGTCTGGAAGGCCAGGCTTTACCTTCAGCCCGGTGCTCAGGCCCAACTAGATCAAGGCAACTATGGAATGACTCAGGGCAGCAGCCTGGCCAGGGCAGGACTGCGCCGGAACGCACCAGTTTCGGGACTGTGCTTGGAGGCGGCAGATCACTGGTCCTGCCCATCAAGGAGCAGGGACTCCAGGGAGCCAATCAGGATTGCACATAAGCGGAGCCGTCCAATCAGCAGCGGGCGGCCGCTCTTCCGGTGCCGCCCTGCTCGATACTTAGGTGCCACGGGAGCGGGCACGGTGCTCGGTTGCAGCAGGTGGAGCGCGGGGCTTGTGGAGGAAGCACGCAATGGTGAGAGCGGCTTGGGGACGCGGACGGGGGGCGCACGGGCGGGGGACCGCGGGCCCCGCTCAGTCGGACGGACGCTCGGAAGTTCCCGGAACTTGCTGAGCGTTTGCTGACCGCGCTTCGTGGAGCCCGCAGCCGAACCGCTGGCAGCTTCTAGATTTTTTTTTTTTTTTTTTTTTTTTGGTTTTTCGAGATAGGGTTGCTCTGCGGCTTTGGAGGCTGTACTGGAACTCGCTCTGTAGCCCAGGCTGGTCTCGAACTCACAGAGATCCACCTGCACCTGCCTCCCGAGTGCTGGGATTAAAGGCGTGCGCCACCACCGCCTGGCTAGATATGTTCTTTTGATGTTTTAAATTATACTTCTTTGTACGAGTGGGCCGGTGGGAAAGTCAGAGTCCGGACACGCCTTTTACTTTATGTGTTCTGGGAATCGAACACAATTCGCCTGGCTTTGCAGCAAGCGTCTGTTAAGCTGAACCATGAAGCAGATAGATCCTTTTGGGTTTTGCTTATTTTTCCTAAAGATGAATTTCCTTATGTGCATATTCAGAAACCTGGTGAGTTCTTGTCCCTGGGATGAGAGAAAGGGAACATAAGAGTTATTTGTCCCCGGGATTGGAGAGATGGCTGCTGTTGAGTTCAGTTCCCAAGAACCACATGTTGACTCAACAACTATCTGTAATGGAATCTGATGCCGTCTTCTTGCTTGCAAGCATACATGCAGACAGAAAAAGTCCAACTTCTAGGAATAATTTCTCTTCAATTGTAGGTTTCTTTTCCCCGTTATACGGCAAACAGGAGGCGTGGGGGTTGGAGGTACACAAATCCCGACTGGCCAGCTTCCTAACCGGTATCTCAAGACAGAATCCTGTGGCAGCTGACCTACTTGTTGGTGGCCTTTAATCTCAGCACTCGGGAGGCAGAGCTCTTGAGTTCGAGGCCAGCCTGGTCTACAGAGTGAGTGCCAAGACAGCAATAAATAAACACTGTCTCGAAAAAGACCAAATTGGGAGGGAGAAAAGAAAATGATATTTCTGGGGCTGGAGAGGTGGCTCAGGGGTTGGGAGCGCTGGCTGCTCTTCCAGAAGTCCTGAGTTCAATTCCCAGCACCCACATGGTGGTTCACAACCATCTGGAATGAGATCAGTGCTCTCTTCTTGCTTGCAGACATACATGCAGGCATTGCTGTATATAATATATAAAAATCTTTAAAGAAAGAAACAGGGACCCAGTCCCAGCAACAGAAGGGAGAGTAATCAGAATACAATGCATGGTAATGGAAAAAAACTCTCTCAAAGGGCAATAAAGGTATAGTTTATTCTGAATCCAATTATGAATGGCCGTAGCTGGGACCCCCCAAACACTCCCACACTGTCAGCATGGAAGTGACACATGAGTGTTGGTGCCTCATTAGTGCTGGCACTGCAGAGGCAGGCGGATCTCTGCACTTGAAGCCAAACAACAGGTACAAGTAGGATGTGACATTGGAAGGAGTGTAGGAATAGGAGGGGAGGGGAGTCCACACTGAGGTTGGCTGGACAGACTGGGGGGGTAGGAGGGGAGAGCACCACTGAGGTTAAGCAGACCAGTGCATGCGTGGTGTGTGTGCCTGGTGCCAAAGAGGACATTGACCCCTTGGAACTGCAGTGACAGGTGGTTTTTGTAGGTAGGTGCTAGAAACCAAACGTGTGTGTGTGTGTGTGTGTGTGTGTGTGTGTGAGTGAATGAGGCCCCCCAAGGTGGGATGAACATCAGCTCCCCTGGAACTGGATCTACAGGTAGTCGTGAGCTGCCGTGTGGGTCCTGTGTCCAAGTACACCACATGCATGCCTGACACCAGCCAAGGTCAGAAGAGGGCGCAGGCTCCCCTGGATCTGGAGTGACAGATCTGGAGTGCTGGGAAGCAAGCCCAGGTCCTCTAGGAGAACAAGTGCTTTATCTGCTGAGCCATCTCCCACGCCCACCCACACCTTTTACACTAACCTAAAACGTCAGGGGGACCGCCGTGGCCAGCTCCTTTAGCTCACTAGCCTCAGGTGTGTGTGGTGCAGGGTTTCTCTTCGATGCCCATGCCTGGGATTTCAGGAACCTCTGGGGCCAAGCACGAAATGCATGCACCTGGAGAGTATGGGCTCCCCTGTGAACTGGAGGGACAGGCAGCTGTCCTGGGTGCATTTGCTGTTGAATCTTGCTAATATGAATTGTTTCAGCCAAGCAGGTGAGTTTTTCTATACCAATCAGACATTGTGGCTCATGCATGTAACCCCAGTTTTCAGAGGCTGAGGTGGGAGGGTTGGGAGTTTAAGGCCAGCCTGGGCTACATAATACATTCTAACTCTAGTTCTGGTGTGATTCTCCCTTCCCAAATTCAGATCTTGGGAATCCTTTGAGCTCCTTCAGCACTTCAGACAGTAGCACTGTTCAGTCAAGGTCCAGTTGAAGGTGCTTGGGGCCCAGTCTTGTGACCTCTGGTCCCTGAGACCCACATGACAACTGCTTGTGAGCAGCAAGACTTACTAGGTTCCCTGGCCTGGAAGACAGGCTGTAACAATTTTACTGAGAGCACTCAGGCTTTTTATCAGAAGCAAAATATAGTGGCCATTGCCAGGATCAATACAGTTGTAGTTGCCAGGATAAAGTGATGTTTGTAAACTTTACACAAGACCGATGTCTAAGACATTCTGTTAGCAAATTTCCTGTAAAGGCTTGACTGTGTATGTAGGAGCATTGGCAGTTTTCAATATTTTACAGCAGCATAAAATAGAAAAGCAAATATCTTAATTTTTTATGAGGAATGTAAATCCAAATGATTAATCCAATTTTTATTGTTGTAAAGAGTCTCTTTAGCATTTTATTTTTGGCAGAAAGCAAAATATCCATACCATATATAATAAAAGTAAGAAGGAACAATTTTTCTTAGCTCTTTAAAGTAGTAGCAACAAGCCAGACTGGTGGCGCATGCCTTTAATTCCAGCAGAAGCAGGTGGACCTCTGAGTTTGAGGCCCAGGATAGCCAGGACTACACAGAGAAACAAACTTTTTGGCCTAAAGTTGGGTTGTTTGTCATTTCTCATTTCTTTTCCTTTTCCTTTTTTTTTTTTTTTGGCGGGGGTGGAAGGGTGGTTTTCGAGACAGGGTTTCTCTGTGTAGCTCTTGTAGACCTGACTGGTCTTGAACTCAGAGATCCGAGGCTGGGATTAAAGGTGCACCACCAACACCCGGCTCTCATTTCTTTTTCTAGTTGAGTGACTGCCAACGCTTGAGATACCTCTTGCCTGTCAAGGGCCACACAGAGGTAATCCTTGAGTATGTGAAGGCCCAGCATCAGAGTAGACCTGATATACTTGTACAAGATTAGCACTCTTGTGCCAATTGCTTAACATCCCTGTCAACTGCCAAGTGCCTGACCGCCTAGAAGAGATGAGAAGCAGAGTCCTGTGTCTCATCAGGGCCCTGTCAGTTATTATTGTTATTTTGTTTTCCGAGACAGGGTTTCTCTTGTTTTGGAGGCTGTCCTGAAACTCGCTCTGTAGACCACGTTGGCCTGGAACTCACAGAGATCCACCTGCCTCTGCCTCCCACGTGCTGGGATTAAAGGCAGGCATGCACCACCACCACCCAGCTGGCCTTATCTAATTTTAGGAAGTTTCTCTGTCTTCCAGAATCTGGTAAACGATTGTGTCTGCTGATTTGCCCCTAAGCCTCAGGAGGATACGTGCTGGCACTGGGCATAGCTGTGCATGTCTCCTGGTAACCTCTCAAGCTACAGGCCCCTTATTTTGTTGATTTCTATCTAAGCTATTAATTTCTTTGACATATTTGAATAAGTCAGTCCTCCAGTAAATATGCACCCCCAGTAAGACAAGCTTTTGCAGCTGCTTTTCATGGGTTTGTTTTTCCTTCCAACTGGCCCTGTGGAATTAAAATGTTAAGTCTCCTTTGAAATTAAACACATTGCCATCATTTATCCTAGAGTAGTGTAAAAAATAGTTAGCAAAACAAAAATAAGATCTTATTAATTTCCTCTTACACTGAGAAAATAGCAGAGTTGGATAAGCGTTTCCTGATTGTCTCAGCCTTGAAACAATATCTAGAATAAGTAAACAGCAGTGAGTGTTTACATAACCATTTAAATCTTATTTTTCTAAATCAAATGCACCATCTGAATTTTCCTTTGTTTTACATCCAGTTTCCCCTTCTCTCCTAGTGCCCCCCCAATTCCTGTCCTCCGTTTCTGTTCAGAAAAGGGCAGGCCACGAACAGATAGCAACAAAACATGGCATATCAAGTTGTACTAAGATTAAGCACTTTGCAGCCAGGTGTTGGTGATACGCGCCTTTAATCCCAGCACTTGGCGGGTAGGGCAGGTGAATCTGTGTGAGTTTGAGGTCAGACTGGTCTACTGTTCTGGCATTAGCTGCAAGTGTACTTCCAGGCCAAGGTCACCTGATGTGGCCACGAGGAATTAAACCAGGCTGGTTGGAAAGGCTAGCAGACTTATACTTTTATCTGAAACAAAATATAGTTTGAGACATTCTTTAGTCTTGACTGTGAGCAATTGTCTTGATTGTTGATAGAGAAGGGGGCAGCCCACTGTCAGCAACAACATTCCCTGGACAGATAGATAGATGGTCCTGGTCTATATTGAAGAAGAAAAAAAAGCTAGCTAAGTGTAAGTGAGCTAGCAGTGTTCCTCCATAGTTTCTGTCCTAAAATCCTGCTTGAATCTGTGCCCCGGTTTCCCTCCGTGAATAAAGTGTAAGCCAAGTAAACTATCTCAGTTATTTTTCTGTTGCTGTGAAAAGACACCGTGACCATTACTTCGGGGAGCATGGCTGTGGCAGGCAGACATGGCACTGGAATTGTAGCTGAGAGCATACTTCTGATCCACAACCAGGAAGCAGAGCATGCTGGGAATGGCATGTGCTTTCAAAGCCCACCGCCCTGGACACACCTCCTCCAAGGCCACGCTTGAATCCATCCTTAAAAGTTTCCACATTGAAGTATTTGAATCAGTGGGGGCATTCTCATTCAAACACATTCTTTCTTCACCTAAGTTGCTTTTGGTCAGAGTTCATCAAGGCAGCAGAAATCAGACTAGAACACCATTTGTTACTTGCAATCAGTTGCCGAGTGGGAGGAAGTGTAGGCAGTCCTGGACCTGATGGAAGCATTACCCTCTCAGCCTGGTATTAATGAATAAATGTGAGCAGCTGCCCGTCTCCTTCGTAGTGACACTCCCGTATGTTTCAGGACACAGTGACATTTGAGGACGTGGCCGTGAACTTCACTGATGAAGAGTGGGGCTTGCTGGACGTTGTGCAGAAGAATCTCTACAGAGATGTGATGCAGGAGACCTGCAGGAACCTGACTGCCATAGGTGAGCCTGGGGGCTCCTGGCCGTTGTGCTGAGTCAGCCAAGCTTGGCTTCTTCTTGCACTAAGCATCTGGTAATCACTTTATACTGTTTGCCTTTTTTAAATTGTAATTTGTCTATATTTTAGAAACAGAATGGGATCGGTATAATCTGGAAGCTTTCTACAGAAATCTAAAGAGAAATCTCAGGTAATGAATGCCCACAAAGGAACAGCTGTTTCCCTCAAGAGACTCATTGGATGTCGGGAAAAAATTTTTTTTGGTTTTTCGAGACAGGGTTTCTCTGTGGCTTTGAAGGCTGTCCTGGAACTAACGCTTGTAGACCAGGCTGGCCTCGAACTCACAGAGATCCGCCTGCCTCTGGCTCCCGAGTGCTGGGATTAAAGGCGTGCGCCACCACCGCCCGGCCCAGGGAAATTTTAAAAAGAGCACAAATTCAGACTTTATTCTTTTAAAAGCAATGTCCCTAAGCTCTGAAAATGAGTGCTTGTATGTTTTGAGTATTCCAGGTTTGCAAAAATACTTTATGTAAAAATAGTATTAAGACATTCCAACTGGTGCCAGGCAGGTGGTGGTACACATCTTTAATCCCAGCATTTGGAAGGCAGAGGCAGGTGTATCTCTGAGTTCGACACCACCCTGATCTATAAGAACTAGTTCTGGGACAGTCTCCAAAAACTACACAGAGAAACTCTGTCTCAAATAAAGCATTCCAGCTGTGGCCAGAGCATTCAATGTGTGAATCAGCCTCATTCATTTGAAAAAAAAATAACTAAGGGGCTGGAGAGATGGCTCAGCAGTTAAGAGCACTGTTTTGCCAGAGCACTCTGGTTCAATTCCCAACACCCACATGGTAGCTTACCTTCATATCAATGCACATAAAGTAAATTATTAAAGAATATAATAAAATAATTTAAATTAATAACTAGATTTTTTTTTGTTTTGAGACAGGGTTTCTCTGTATTGTTTTGGAGGCTGTCCTGGAACTTGCTCTGTAGACCAGACTGGTCTTGAACTCACAGAGATCTGCCTGCCTCTACCTCCCGAGTGCTGGGATTAAAGGTGTTCAGCACCCATAGCTAGATTTTAAACAATGATAGAAGCTGTGGCTCAGCCATCTTACAGACACTTGAGTCTACTTAGGTGGAAACTGGGGTCAGGTGGGCAGTGTGCACTCTGTAGGAGGTGTCTACAGGTGACAGTCTCAGGCTGTAAATGGGGGGGGGAGCTGCAGTTGCTAGTCTTTACATGCACTGCTAGTCATTTGTAAGTGCTTGTAGGTAGGCTGTCGGTGTTGACACTCAGACTGAAGGCTGTGCCCAGGTCAGCAGTGTACTCTCAGGGTTTATCTCTACACATTCACATCAGTGCTTAACTAATGTATAAAAGGGTTAATAAGCACACTCTAAAGGTTGTATCTCTTAATTCTTACAGAATCCAAGTGGTAAAGAGAGAACGTGAACTTGCAGACATTGGCCAGCGCAGAAAAGCTGTAGCCCAAGGTCCAGTTGGTGTCACAAGCAAAGCAACTGAGCCAAAGTTTCTTGAACGTCGCACCAGCCAGTTAACCCTAAAGGGGCCTGGTACAGTCAGCTCCAAACAGAGGTCATGTGACTATCAGAAATATGTAAAGAAATACTGTGAATGTGAAACATGTGGTAAAACCTTTACCTGTCCTAAGTCCCTTAAAAAGCATAAAAAGCTCCACACTGGGGAGAAACCTTATAAATGTTCTCACTGTGAGAAATCATTTAGTTACCGCTACTGTGCTGAAAGGCATATGCTGACTCACAGTTTAGACAGGTACAAATGCAGGGTGTGTGGGGAAATGTTTCCTAGTGCTGAGGCCCTTCGGGGGCATAAAAGCCTTCACTCTGGACAGATACCCGAATGTAAGGATTGTGGGAGAATGTTCTGGACTGCTAGTTCCCTCGAGGTACACAAAAGGCTTCACACAACAGAAAAACTCTATGAATGTAAACACTGCGGGAAAGCCTTCACGAGTTACTGTTCCTTTCAACTACACAAAAGGAGCCACACTGGGGAGAAACCATACCAGTGTAAGCAGTGTGGGAAAACCTTCAGACACTCCAGTCATGTTCAAGCACATAAGAGAATTCACACTGGAGAGAAACCCTATGAGTGTAAGCAGTGTGGGAAGACCTTTACTTCTGGCCATTGTGCAAGAAGACATTTAGGGACACACGGTGGAGCCTGGCCTTACAAATGTGAGGTGTGTGGGAAAACTTACCCGTATGTCTATTCGCTTCGAAACCATAAAAAGACCCATGCCAAAGAGAAGCTTCATGAATGTCCACAGTGTGGGAGAGCCTTCAAATACGCCGCTTCCTTACGAAACCATCTGACCACTCACACAGGAGAGAAGCCATACGAATGTAAGGAGTGTGGGAAAGCCTTCAGCTGTCCCAGTTATATGCAGAATCACATGAGAACACACAACGGACAGCCCTATAAGTGTGATGAGTGTGGTAGGGCGTTCTCATACTCCAAAAGTCTGCGTAGACACATGAATATACACAGTCGTGGGTGTTGAGTGAGAGCATGTGTTAGAAGAGCGTGGGTGTGAGTTAGAGCTCCACACATTCAAGCTCAGGTTACAGATCAGCCTCTTAGTATGCATGGGAAAGTCTGCATTGGTGTCACAAGTGTGCCACAGTTGGGTGTCTCAACCCTGAGTTGAAAGCATTGTTAGGAAGCACTTCAGTACTGAACTTAGCAGAGATGGATGCTAACTGGGAAAGCTTTTTCCCTTGTCAGCACACGGGAAGACAGAAAAACACATCACTGTCAGCAAGGGATTTTTGGTTTTTTTTGGGGGGGAGGGAGTTTGTTTTGGTTTGGTTTTTCGAGACGGGTTCTCTATACTGGTTTGGAGGTTGTCCTGGAACTCTGTAGGCCAGGCTGGCCTTGAACTCACAAAGATCCACCTGCTTCTGCCTTCTGAGTGCTGGGATTAAAGGCATGTGCCACCAATGCCCAGCCTAGTTATACATGTTTAATCAACTATTTTTAAGTGCTTTTGTGATTAATGGACTAATAAAAAGATGACTTTGCAAATGTCCAGATTTTGTCATAGGCCTAGTTGTGGCCATACCCTATCATAAATGTTCCGTGTTTGTTTTCTAATAAAAATGTCTTTCCAGCACAAAGTTTACTCAGTTGTGTATACTAAAATAGAGCCACTTTTCATGCTTATGGGGGAGGGTGCACATGTGAGTTCAGGTTCCTGGAGAGTCCAGAAGAGGGCGCTGGATCACCTGGAGCTGATCGGGTGGGTGAGCGAGTCCTCTCTCCAGCCCTGTTGTTTCTGGGGAACATTTTCATGTAGCTATAATGGTGTCTCAGAGGCCAGTGAGTCCTCTCTCCAGCCCCGTTGTTTCTGGGGAACGTTTTCACGTAGCTATAATGGTGTCTCAGAGGCGAGTGAGTCCTCTCTCCAGCCCCGTTGTTTCTGGGGAAAGTTTTCACGTAGCTACAATGGTGTTCCAGGTGTGCATCACTGACCAACACTGCCCCTGAGGAGCTCTGTTCAGGATGTTGCTTTGACTTCTCTTGCGGGAGCTACTCCATGGCTTTGCTGCCCTGGACTGAGTTCCCTAGCACTGCAAACATGTTAAATGAGAGATTTTCACTTAAGCCCAAGAGGTTACTGTGTAATTCAGAGATGAACTTTCGGAATGGAATCATGTGGGTGTGGGCATTCCAGAGCCAGCCATTCTGGAATCCTTGACGCTTCCATGGTAGTTTGCTGGTACAAGGTGTGGATGATGGTGTGTGGGGGGGGCTTGTCAGTTTGAGGAGTCGCAGTGTCTAAACAGGTGCATGCTGCCAGCCCCGTCTTCCAACTTGTGTGTGTCTGATGTGAGTGTGCGCCACAACATGCTGTGGGGTTCAAAGTTCTCTATCCTAACCCCAGGGATCTGACTGAGGTGGTCAGGCCTGGCCACAAGTGATATTACTGGCTGAATCATCTCACCAACCCTGTTAACGTAGGAGGAAATTCTAGTTATCTTAAGAATTGCAGTTTCGCCGGGCGTTGGTGGCGCACGCCTTTAATCCCAGCACTCGGGAAACAGAGGCAGGCGGATCTCTGTGAGTTCCAGACCCAGCCTGATCTACAGAGCGAGTTCCAGGACAACCTCCAAAGCCACAGAGAAATCCTGTCTCGAAAAACCAAAAAAAAAAAAAAAAAAAAGAATTGCAGCTTCACTGTGATAGTGACACCTTATAAGACTTGCAACTGCTATCTTCCAAAACGCACGATCTCATGTGTTGTCAAAGAAGGTGTAAAGAGATGGAGGGTGCTGGACAGATGGCATTGTGGTTTATGTGCACTCACGTGTGTTAGTCCCAAGGGTTCCAAAAGTGTGGGATTAAAGGCATGCACCACCACCACCCGGTCCTGAGTTCAATTTTTAAGATTCACTTAAAAAGCCAGGTACGAGGGTCCACAGACCTACATGTAAGCAAAACACCATACACTGAAGATTTTAAAAGCTGGGTATAGCTAAATCCCAGCATCGAGGAGGTAGGGACAGAAGGACTTGGCCTTACTCAGATTTATAGAATTTTTCATAATGACCCAGCAGAGACACTTAGGAGTACATTCCCAAAGGACTTCTACTACAGAGACACGTACACATCTGCGGTCCTACTCACGAAGGCCAGGAAATGGGATCAAAAGCCAGCAACTGCAACATGAAGGATGAAAATGGAGGGAATATGCACAATGGGATATTAATCGGCTGTAAAGAAAAATGAAATTAATCTGCAGGAGCATGGAGGCCACTGAAAATAATATTTGAAGCAGTTTAACTCAGGTTCAGAAGCACAGATGCCACATATTCTGAGCTAAGTGGATGCTAGAGAATTCTTTTAATTTATGTGTCTGGGAGGTGGATGAGTTTTGCCTACAAGAATATGTGTTCGCCATTGTGTGCCTGGTATCTGAGAGGTCAGGACTGGGCAGTGAACCGTCGGGCGGGGGTTAGAGGCAGTTCTGGGCCACCATGCAGGTGCAGGGTGGAGCCGGTGTCCTCTGCAAAAGCAGCAGTGCATTCAACCACTGAGCTTCCCAACCCTTCCCAGGCAGGTTTTTAGCTTGTGGCTTGTAATATATGCATTCCTAAGTAGGAGTTGTGTTTCTCAGGTATCTGGTGTAGAGTATGAGTATATGGTGTGTGTGTGTGCGTGCGTGCGTGCGTGCGTGTGTGTGTGTGTGTGTGTGTGTGTGTGTGTCTGAGACAGGGGTCTTTATGTAGCCATGACTCCTGAAGCTTGCTGTGTAGGCCAAGTTGTCCTCGTCCAACTCAGAGATCCACCTGCCTCTGGCTCCTGGCTCTGGTGTAAGGACCACCACCCCTGGCTCCATTTTTAATTTTTTGATCCGGGGTCTCCCAAGGAGCTTGGAACTCACTGGTTTGACTAGACAGTGGGTCCCTATGATTCCCCTGTCTCCACGTCTCCAGTGCTGGTGTTACCAGTTGTGTGTGTGGCTCCCCTGCTCCCTGTGGGATTTTACTGGGAGAGTCATTGCTTGTTTTCTCAGCTAGTGTTTAGTTAGTGAGCACCCACTAGACGCCAGGCAGCAGGAAAATGTGACAAGTAAATTCAGGATAACCTTTGCCGTGTGTGTGTGTGTGTGTGTGTGTGTGTGTGTGTGTGTGTGTGTGTAGGCTCACATGCCACGGCGTGACCATAGAGACAGCCAGGGCTGTAAGGAAGCTTGGCAGCAGCAGGGGGAACAGTCTCAGATGGTCTCAACCCCCCAGCAGCTCTGCCAAACATATTTATTGACTGTGACACCAAAGCTGTTTTAGAGCAAGGCAACCTTCTCATACGAGAGCCTCTGGTGTGCTCTGTGTGCTGCCTGGAGGAGCACAGGACCAGCGAACTCACCAGTCCTTGTTGTTCTGCACTGCCTGAAGTGCCCAATAATTCAAGTCCAGGTTTGCCCGTGATGTCGGTGTTTAAAGTCACGTGACGGCCATAAGCTCCTTCAGAAAAACAGCTCCACAAATCTCAGAAAACAGTCACTGATCAGGCCGGGCGTTGGTAGCGCACGCCTTTAATTCCAGCACTCAGGAGACAGAAGCAGGTGGATCTCTGTGAGTTCAAGGCCAACCTGGTCGACAGAGCAAGTTCCAGGACAGCCTCCAAAACAATACAGAGAAACCCTGTCTCGAAAAACCGAAAAAAAAAAAACGAAGATAAGAAAGCTAAATGCACACATAAAGGGAATCTGTGTCAACTTTGCAGGACAGCATCCCTGGAAATCCCGGGGACTTAAGAATGGTGAGGGATGGAGGCGCTAGAGTACCCGGAAGAGACCCTTTGCTGAGCTCCGAAGAGTCCTCCTGGGACTTGAATGATTGACAGGCTCTGGAGAGAGGGCGCAGGTTCACGCTAATTGCTTGGTGCACAGAACCATGACAGAGCTTCAGCTCAACTCTCCGGGTCATCTCTTTTCTGTTCTCTTTTTCTCTGTTTCTTTTTCTTTTCTTTCTCTCCCTCCCTCCCTTCCTTCTCTAAAGGAGATTCGTCTCGGTGATTAAGAGCACCCCAATTCGATACCTGGGTGCCACAGAGTGGGGAACCTACTCCACAAAGCTGCCCTCTGCCCTCCACTCACACAAATAAGTACATGTACTTTTTTAAAAATTAAAACTCCGAAGAAGTGGCCCCTGCTGCTGGGAGACCATGTGACCCACACTCAGGGGAGGACCCCCCCCTCACAGTCCTGTCCTCCTCTGCCCACCCCTCATCTTCTGCCTCCAATCTCGGGAACATTTCTCCCCGGATGAAACCTGGGTCATGTTGGGCATTTGCAAGTCCCTGCATCACTGAGACACCCAGAGAGAAAAGGTGGTGGGAGGCGACCTCCCCATCCCTCTCCTCTTCCTTCTTCAGCTGAATGAAACCCTCCTGCTCTTCCTGCATCATTTTCAAGATGGGTCAGTGTTGGGGAAGTCCTGTTATTTGCCTGTTATTTGTCAATAAAGTATTGTCTGGCCAATGGGGAATCTAGATAGGAGGGACTAGGAGTCGAGGAAGATTCTGGGAAGGAGAAACACAAGAGAGTTCGAGATGTAACCGCATGGGTAGGAAGCCCGGAACTATTCTCCGGTAAGAGACATACTTAGATTAACAATTATGGGGTAATTACTTAAAGCAGAGCTAGCCAGTAAGAGACAAACAAGGCCAACAGCTTCATAATTAATATAGCATCCTGTGTGTTTATTTGGGGGCTACAATGTGGCAGAGCCCAGGCGGCTGGCGGGGGATAAACCAAAGCGGCTAGCAAAGAAAAAGCTTCCTTTAACAGGTCAGCACAGCCGGGCGTTGGTGGCTCACGCCTTTAATCCCAGCACTTGGGAGGCAGAGGCAGGTGGATCTCTGTGAGTTCGAGGCCAGCCTGGTCTACAAGAGCTAGTTCTAGGACAGCCTCCAAAGCCACAGAGAAACCCTGTCTCGAAAAACCAAAAAAAAAAAAAAAGATGGGTCAGCGCAAGCAGCAGGTTAGAAACGTCCAGAACATCCTCAAACGTCTCCTCTGTTCCTACAGCCTGACCTGGCTAAGGTTTATCCTGGGCCAGTGGAAAGTGCTCCGTGAAGTCTCTAAGATGGGGAAAACTGAGTCCTAGAAGAGAAAAAAAAAAAAAAAAAGGCCTTGCCTCAAAGCAAGGGCTAGAGCATCCAGGAACCGGCAAGATGGCTCATGGGTAAAGGCACTTGCTGCTGAGAATTCTATCCCCGGAAGCCAGGACGGAAGACAAGAACTGGATACAGCAAGTTGTCCTGTAACCTCCACATGCACCATTGCAAGCATGTGCACACACACACACACAAAATTGAGTGATTGGTTGATTGACTGGATGGCTGACTGCTTGGTCGAGTTTTAAATCTGGAGAGATAGCTAGGCTTTAAGAACGTGAACCACCGGGCATTGGTGGCGCAATGGCAGTGGGAGAGGAGAAGAGGGTACTGAGGGATGAATGTGATAAAAAAGAATGACATCACTATTGTGTACTATTAATACACCAATAAAAGCATCTTAAATAGTGCTAACATTTATGGTGTGTGTCTGTGTGTGTGTCTGCATGTGTCTGTGTTTGTGTGTATGTCTGTGTCTGTGTGTGTCTGCAT